GCCCGAGGGGACTCCCAGGTAAGGCGCTAGCCCGGGGCAGGATGGCCTGGAGGCGAGGACCTCCTCGCCTGGCTTTCCTGGGCCGCGCCCTAGGATCTCGTCCCCCGGAGTCCCCTCGCCTGGGGTCATCTCCCCGGGGTCCTGTTCTTGGGGGTCCTCTGCTCTGGGGTCCTCTCCCTTGAGGCCCTCTTCCCTGGGGTCCACTTCCTTGGGGCCCTCTCCCTTGGGGTCTTCTCCCTGGGGGTCCTGTCACCTGGGATCCCGTCCCCTGAAGTCCTGTCCCTGGGGGAGTCCTGTCTCCTGAGGTCCTCTCCCCGGGGCTCCTCTCCCTGGAGGCCCTCTCCCCTGGGGTCTACTTCCTTGGTGTCCTCTCCCCTGGAGTCCCCTTGGGTCCTCTCCCTTGGGGTCTTGTCCCCTGGGGTCCTCTCCCTTGGGGTGTTCTCCTTGGGGTCCCTGGCAGGCCTGCCCAGACCCCTTCCACTCACTCTCCAGCCCTGCCCGCTGTGCCCCCCACTCCCGAGGGTCTAGGCCAGGCAGTTTGAGAGGAGGCTGGGGAAGAAGCAGGTCCCGGCCTAGGGCAGGCACCCTCCAGCCTTGCCTCGGGACGCCCCACTTTGTGCCAGCAGCTCTGGTTTGCTGCCACCGTCTCTCCCTCTGTACTTGGACCACTCCCCTTCCTGATGCGTCCTGCTCAGGGGCTGGGGCCGCCCTGGTCTTCCCAACCAGCCGCCAGCTTGGACGGGCCCAGGGCCATTTACTTGGGGCCATGGGAGCTCTTCCTGGCCCAGACACACCTTGCTTGCGCCTCGGTCCCGAGGTTGATGTGGCTGGAGGATCCTGGGAGAGGCCGGGGGAAGGTGTTTCCTCCTTAAAAGTGGACTTGAATGCTGGCTTGGTCACTGCACCCTCCTGCTGGCCGCAGATCCCACTCACTGTCGCCTTATCCTCACGATCCCTGCCACTGGTCAGTCGCTCTGTGCCCTCGCCTATGGATGTGTTCCCAGAGGCTGCTTCCTCCGGCTCAGGTCATGTCTCACGTGGACGAAGCAGCCCGCCGGCTGTCCAGAGGCGGGACCACCCTCTATGCAGTGCTGGAACTTAAGAAGGGGGCCTCCCCAGAAGACATCAAAAAGTCCTACAGGTTCAGACCTCAGCTCTGTATTGAACCCTGGCATCTCCGCTCTGACGCCTTTTCTTTTGACTGTGCTTTCTGACCCGTTTTAAAATCCCTACAAGCCTTCACGTGGGCCTGATAGGGCCATCACCCTCATCATGGCGGCATGGGAAAGAATTTAGACCCTGGCTGCTTGCCTTCCCCCATGTACCACATCTCATGTGTCCTCTAGGGCCCATCCCTGTCATTCCTCCCAACCCCTGCTCCCTGGCCATTCCCCATCCCTACCCCACCCTTCTTTTGGGTATTGCCTGGGTAGGAAACTGGCCTTGAAGTATCATCCAGACAAGAATCCAGGGGACCTCCAAGCAGCAGAAATATTCAAAGAGATCAACACAGCCCACGTGATACTGAGTGACCCCAAGAAACGGAAAATCTACGACCAGCACGGCTCATTGGGAATCTATCTGTATGACCACTTTGGCGAGGAAGGTGTCCGCTACTATTATACTCTGAATAGCTGTTGGTTCAAGGTACATGATTCTCCCCAGACCCTTAAGCATAAGGAAGGAAGGCTGAGCCTTCCCCCCCGGGCCCTGTGCTTGCGTTGCCCCATTCCTGGTGCTGGAGGGCTGCGGGCAGGGCCTGGCTGTCATGGAGCGCTGCCGGGCTGAGGCCATCCTGCCTGCCTTCCAGACTCTGGTCCTGCTGTGTGTGCTACTCACTTGCTGCTGCTGTTGCTGCTGCTGCTGTTTTTGCTGCGGCGCGCTCAAGCCGCCCCCCGAGGAGTATCACCAGAGGCAGTACCAGCAGAACGTCCAGCGCCAGCCTCCGAAGCCAGGTGAGGGCCCAGTGGGGCCGAGGCAAGGCCTGCATCGGGAGTGAGGGAGGTGACCGGGGTGAGGAAGACTGGGAGAACGTGCCTGGCGCTGAGACAGAGTGAAGAGAGGGCGCCGAGATGTGTCCGCATGACTCATGCCACACACGGGCGGTGGGAAGGGAGTGCTGTGCTGGCCTCTCCTGTCAAGGAACAGGGTGGGAGAGTGTGCCTGGGAAAGACCACAGGCTCAAGGGTGCAGCTTTTGGCATCTACTCAAAAAGAGGATGAGGTGTCTGAGATCATTCCCACCCCAAATCGTTAAACTTTAAAAATTGTAGGTTGAGCCAGACACGGTGGCTCAAGCCTGTCTTCCCAGCACTTTGGGAGGCGGAGGCAAGAGGATGGCCTGAGCTCAGGGCTTCGAGTCCAGCCCAGGCAACTTGGCGAGACCCTGTCTCTACAATAAATCAAAAAATTAGCCGGGCGTGGTGGCGCATGCCTGTGGTTCCAGCCACTTGGAAAGCTGAGGCAGAAGGATCGCCTGAGCCCAACAGGTCGAGGCTGTGGTGGCTGTGAGCGTGCCCCTGCACTCCAGCCTGGGCGACAGAGGAAGACTCCAACTTAAAAAAGGAAAATCTTGGCCAGGCTCAGTGGCTCAGCCTGTCATCCCAGCACTTTGGGAGGCCGAGACGAATGAATTGCCTGATCCCGCAGGTTTGAGACCAGCCCGGGCAACTTGGGGAGACCTTGTCTCTACAACAAACCAAAAATTAGCTGGGTGTGGTAGCGCATGCCTGTAGTTCTGGCTACTTGGAAGGCTGAGGCAGAAGGATGGCCAGAGCCCAGCAGGTCGAGGTTGCGGTGGCTGTGAGTGTGCCCCTGCACTTCAGCCTGGGCACGGAGTGAGACTCCAACTACCCCCCCCCAAAAAAAGAAAGAAAAAAATTGTAGGTTGACTGAACTGCACAGCAGTGCCACCTGGTGGTGCTGATGCATAGCTGCAAGGGAGCGGTTCTCCAAAGCCCAAAGACATGATAACTGAATGTTGATGTATGTAAGCAAACACACAATTCTGTCGTAGGAGCCGCACGTGACTTTAGAAGACAGGAGGAGAGCGAGGATGACCTTTAAGAGGTGAAGAGGAGTGAGGTACGTAAACTGAGGGGTACCACAGCTGACGGATACGAGGTGCTGACTGCAGGCGTGCCTTTAGTGGAAGGCTTGTGGACCACAAGTGCTGGTGCCCTTGCGTGTGGGGTTTGCTCCAAATTCTAGATGGTTATTCTTTCTGGTTAATAAGGTGCCGCCTTCCGCCACTAGGTGCTGACCCCACGAGGGTGCCTTCTGTTGCCCGGTGCACTACACACGTCAAAGAGGGGAGCAAGAAGCCTTATCTTGATAGTGACCCTGACCTGACCCTGACCTGACCCCTCTTCTTTTAAGGATCTCGACTGTGGAAGCATGGATGGTGGCCGCCCCTGCAAGGACACCCTCTCTGCCCTTGGTGGCACTGCTGACCCTGGCTATGTGCAGCTGCCCAGAGGTTCTTCTTTTTAGTTCCAGTCCCAATCTCTGCCTGTCAGAGAGTAGCCCCCCATCCCTACCCTTGTGAGGTCAGGCAGCGGTGGCTGACATTTCCTAAGGATTCTTTTTCCTGTGACTGCTTTGTTGTTGGGGCCGGGGCCGGCTCGTTGGGGCCCCTGAGATCCTGGCGAGGAGTAGGGGATTCTGCTCCTGGAGCTGGGCACAGTTACCAAGAGCTCCTGACAGCAGCTGCATTCCTGAGCCAGCACACCTCACCCCAGTGCCCACAGCCCTTGCCACCATGTGCCCCCTCAGGACTAGTCTGAGCGCGTTTGAGGCTTGGGGTGTCATCCCGTCTCCAGGGTTTGCTTGGCCTCAGCTGCCACACAACACATGTTAGCCTGGGTTCCATGGGCCACTGAGGTCCACACACTGAGGCCCGCTTGCCACTGTCCTTTCACCCCATCTTGTGCAGGCTGATTGCCATGTAGTTGGCTCTGAAAAACAGGGGCATGGGACCTGGGATGGGGGAAAATCGTGCTTTACAGACCCCTCCCCCACTCTCGTCCCTTCATGCTGCCTGTTCGGTATCATCGCCACACATGTATTTCCCGTCTACCCAGGGTCACCGCCTAGTAACGCCTCAAACTTCTCTCCCCAGACTGGGAGAAAGGCTGGAGAATGTCAGTAAATAAAAGCTTTTGTCCAGTCCCAGTACATACGTCGGGCCCAAGAAAGACAGATTGCTCCTGGGCAGGAGAAAAGAAGACCTGGTGGGGCCAGCCTGGCTAGCCTGGCTTGGAGAGCTGGGCCAGGACAGTATGGAGCCGGGCAGAGGCTTCCCGGAGCCTGTGACTGTGTGTCAGCGCTCTAAAATTTCCCTGGAGACTGATTCCCTGGATGCCCAAAATAGGTCCCTGGCGTGCAGGTCCTTTCTGCCCAATTCAGCCTCTCCCAATTTCCCAACAAATTTGCAGTCCTTGGAGTGGTTCCAGTGATGTGCTCGTGGCCCAAAATCCCACACTTCCTCGGGGATGCTTGTGGGTGGTTCCAGGCCCTGGCATAGCAGTCACTCTGGCCGCTTGAGCGTCTTTCTCTAGGGCGATACAGGAAAAGACTGAACAAGGACAAAATGGGCCAAAGCGTGGGACAAGAGGCGCTCTTTCTGGGCTGCCGCGTTCCGAATCGCTCAGTCTGGAGGAGGAGGAAACCGCCGCCGACGAGGTCTGGCAGGACCTCTCCTCCCACCCTGAGCCCCGTATGGCATCGCACACACGGGCTGACTTGGATTCCGTGTCACCGCCCTAGAAGACGGGCCCAAGCCAGAGCCGTGTTGGGGCTTGCAGGGGCCTCAAGGTGAGGGCAAGGCAGAGTGGCACCTCTGCGGGCCCACCGTCTGCCGTACACGGTGGCCCTCGGCCTGCCCTTGCTCACAGAGTCACCTGCTTCTGAGTCAGGGTCACTCGGTGACAGCTGTGGCTCGCCTTACATGAGCTAAATTGGGAGTTGGAATGTCACACAGATGCCCCTGGCCTCCCCACCCCCACAGTAAAGTTAATCTCCTCCCCAGAGAGGAAGGGACATGCAGTGCTGCCCACAGGGCGAACAGGAGAGTCTGGGGAGCAGGAGTGCTCTACAGGGAGGGAGGGAGGGAGACAGCCACATACGTCTGGCGGGGTGCAGAGCAGAGACAGGAGTGAGACAGCTATCCCGGGACAAACTGAATCCTTAGAGGAAGGGACAGGAAGGCAGGGCCGTCTGGAGAGGGGGCCGTGGAAGGGGCGAGGCGGGAGGGGCAGGAGAGCCAGCGGCAGTGAGGCAGGCCAGGAGCAGGGCCCAGGCCGGGGCGGCCGAGCGCTGAGGGGATGAACTTCGCCGTGGGCTTCAAGCCGCTGCTGGGGGACGCACACAGCATGGACAGCCTGGAGAAGCAGCTCATCTGCCCCATCTGCCTGGAGATGTTCTCCAAGCCCGTGGTGATCCTGCCCTGCCAGCACAACCTGTGCCGCAAGTGTGCCAACGACGTCTTCCAGGTGGGTCCAAGCGGCAGCGTCGCCGGGGCAGGCCCAGCTCGTGGGCAGGGGCTCTGGGCGGGCGGTGGCCATGGGGCTGAGGGACGCTGGCCTGGATGGACGCTGTGTGTGGCCGGCTGCTGGGGTCTACTGAGGAAGAACCCCTCGGAGACGAGCAGGCAGGGAACCCCACCCTGGGCTTCTGAGGGCCTGCACCAGACTGCATTTCAGAGTCCGAGAACATTGTGGAAAACCTGGAGAAAAGAGCAGCATGTCACACTCAGCCTGTAATCCCGTGCCTTGGGAGGCTGAGGTGAGTGGATTACCTGAGCCCGCGGGTTCGAGACCCGCCTGGGCAACTTGGCGAGACCTTATCTCTACAATAAATTTTTTAAAAAGTAGCCAGGCGTGGTAGCACGCCCATGTAGTTCCTGCTCCTTGGAAGGCTGAGGCAGAAGGATCGCCGGAGCCCAGCAGGTCGAGGCTGCGGTGACCGGGAGCGGCCACTGCACTCCAGTCTGGGCGACAGAGTGTATCTCTAACTCAAAAACAAAAAAAAAGAAAGTCACAGCCCCATGTGGAAACTTCATCATGACAGTAGAACTGTTTGTATTTAGGGCACAGCTCAGGGCAGCCCTTTGGGGCAGAATGAGGCATCTGGGCAGGAGCCTAGGAACCCTCCCCGGCTCCAGGCCATTCGCAAAGAGGCCTGCAGGCTGGAAGGTGTTGAGGCACTGGACAAGCAGAGAAGGCAGGGGAGAAATTTTACTTCCCAGAAGTCCAGCCACTTGGTCTCGTTGCAGTCACGGGGCCAAGCCTGGTTAATCACGTTCACTGACACCATTTTAGCCACAGGCTTCAAAAATAAACGCATATGCCAAGTGGCTTGTAAATGGACTTTTTCCCCACCCTGTGCTGCTGGGGAGGTTCTAGTCAATCATCAAGTGGAAGAGAGCAGGCAGAGAGAAGGGCAGAGGCGCACACACAAAGGGCCTTGCAGAGGGATGAAAGCCCTGGCTGACTGGCACTGCCTGGTGCTGTGGTCAGTGAGAGGCTACATCGCAACAGGTACTCGTCTGCAGCCGAGAGGAGGTGGAAATGCGTTTAGCACAGTGACTTTTAACCCAGACGAGAAAGCTCCTCCCTTTTAAGTTCCTGGGGCAGCGTGTTTGGGACAAGAAGGGGCTGGCTGGGTTGGGCCACCCTGTGCTGGGCCTGTGACCCACCCCTTGTTTGTGTGTTGGGCACTGTCCTCAGTGTGCCCCGCGCCTTGTAGTCTCTGGTGCCGTCTTCCCGTCCAGGCCACTCCTTCTGTCCTCTGAGTGTCTGAGCCTGCCGTCGTCCGGCTGTGTAGTAGCTCAGGGCCGGGAGATGCTACCCCCCAGGGCCTAGGCTGAACACTGAGCCTGTGAGTCCTGTGTGAGGGGGGACGCCATGCCCCCGTCTTGGTTTTTCCCGTCTCAGTGACTGAACATACTCAGGCTGAGGTGCCTAATGTCTGGGGGGTCATGACAGGAAGACGTTGCCATCCTTTCTCATGAACTACCGGGAAACAGCCTCTGGTTAGGACCTGAAGTGTGTGAAAGCAAAGAGAAGTTTTTGCTTTTGTTTTTGTTGGAGTGTCACTCTGTCGCCCAGGCTGGAGTGCAGTGGCACACTCACAGCCACCACAGCCTCGACCTGCTGGGCTCTGGCGACCCTTCCACCTCAGCCTTCCAAGTAGCCAGAACTACAGGCGTGCACTACCACGCCCAGCTCATTTTTTAGTTATTGTAGAGATGAGGTCTAGCCAAGTTGCCCAGGTGGGTCTCCAACCCATGGGCTCAGGCAGTCCATTTGCCTCAGCCTCCTAAAGTGCTGGGATGACAGACCGAGCTACCGAGCCCAGCCAAAACAAGTTTTGAAGGCCAGGGTAAGGTGTCCTGTAGAAGAGTGGGCAGATGTCAGCGTGCAGGCCATACGGCGTCATCTGGCAGAGGGAGCTGGACGAGGACCTGCACGTGGAAGCTGGAAGACGTTGAGGCCGCCTCTTTGTTAAGTCAGCTCTCTGTGTCCAAGCACAGTTTTGCCTCCAGAAAGCTCTGGAACACTGATCTGGACTCAGAGACACCTGAGAACAGCTGGGGCAAACTCTGCGCAGGAGATTCAGGAGAGGGCTCTGGGGGTCTGGAGCAACATGCGCCACTGAGAGCAGCCCTGGGCCTCTGAGGAGGAGTGGATGGCTCCTGCCTTCCTGCTTTATTTGGGGTTCTGGGAGGGCCTCGTGGGAGGCTGACCCAGTTCTTCAGCTGCACTCATGGATTTCATCTCGATATAAGTAGAGCTTCCTCAGAAAGATGAGCATATTTAGTTTTTTCACACATTGCCTCCACGTTTTGACAACCCTGGGCATCATCAGATTGTCTGTCTTCTGAGTATGGGGGCAAGAAGAGGGCTTTGGGGTCCTCTGTCTTCAAACCGCCAACCCCTTAGGGCGTGGCCTAGAAGGTCAACAGCGATCAAAGCGACTCGGTGTGTTTGCTGGGAACTTTCAGTGTGCCTGCATGCTTTTTCAAGTCGTATAGGCATCTGCATCATAAGAAGCACGTCTGCCGTTCGCCTCAGACCCTCAATTTCCTCCACCACATGAGAGTAGCCATTGCCAACTTTCTTGTGAATCCTTCCAGAAGATGCCCGTGTACGGGGACATTCGCACGGATAGACCAACTTAGGCTGGCATCACTGTCCCCGCCCCACCGCATTCGCGTACTCTTCAGGGGATCACTCCATGTCTGCACCTCAGATCTATGTCTTCCCTTTCAAGTCGCCATATGGTGTTTTATTGTCACGACTGGGCCACAGTCATTTATTCTGTGCTCTAAAACATTTAGATGGTTTCCAGTGTTTTGCTCTCCTGAAAACTGCTGTGATGAACAGCAAATGGGTTTGAGGGGCTTGTGATTTTATGCGATCTAGTTAACTAGATAGCCAGGAGGCAAATTTTGAAAAGTTAAAACATCAATTTGAAAATACGGTTAGTTAGCCAGGCTCGGTGGCTCAGCCTGTAACCCCACGCTTTGGGAGGCTGAGGTGAGTGGATTGCCTGAGCCCGCAGGTTCGAGACCCACCTGGGCAACTTGGCGAGACCTCATCTCTACAATAAATCAAAATGAGCCAGGCGTGGTAGCGCATGCCTGTAGTTCCAGCTACCTGGAAGGCTGAGGCAGAAGGATCGCTGGAGCCCGGCAGGTTGAGGCTGCAGTGGCTGGGAGCGACCACTGCACTCCAGTCTGGGCAACAGAGTGAGACTCCAACTCAAAAAAAAGGAAAAAAAAAGAAAAGAAAATACTGTTAGTTGAACAGTATAAAGGGCTTGGAGGCCAGGCACAGTGGCTCATGCCTGTAATTCCAGCACTTTGGGAAGCCAAGGTGGGAGAACTGCTTGAGCCTAGGAGCTTAAGACCAGATTAGGCAACATAGTGAGACCTTGTCTCTACAAAAATATCAAAAAAAATTAGCTGGGTGTGGTGGTGCACACCTGTAGTCCCAACTACTCGGGAGGCTGAGACAGACGGATCATCTGCGACCAGGAGCTTGAGGTTGTGGTGAGCTGTGATCGTGCCACTGCACTTCAGCCTGGGTGACAGAGTGAGACCTGGACTCAAAAAAAGGGGGGGGGGTTGGGAGGAAATGCTCTCTACCCCAAACAGTTATTTTCATTTTGCATATTGCTTTCTTGTTTTGTTTTGTTTTTTTTTGAGGGCGTCTGTGTTGCCCAGGCTGACCTTGAATTCCTGGGCTCGCGTGATCCTCCCGAGTGATGGGAATGCAGGTCTGCACCACCGAGCCTGGCTGTCTTTGCATGTTGCTTTCAAACTCTGGTCCCCAAACAAGTCTTTACATAGCGGCTATCATAATGCTATTCGCTTCAGAGCTGTAGCATGTATCTCTCTCTGAACTGAAACAGAATGAAACACCAAGACACTACATTAACCTCGTAACTTCTCCCTCCCTCCTTCCCCACACTCGCTCCCACTCAGCCACCGAGAATCTTGTCTAAAGGAAAGCTGTTAGTGTGGGACTCTGACACAAACATCTTCCCATGTGTTTCTGTATTTGTAGATTCTGTTCGCTCCTGAAGGCTGAAGCGAGCCTCGGCTTATTTTTGTACCTGCCTCCCCTTCACCGTGGGCACTTGTTTATGAGCTGCAACCTGTTGTGGTTTAACAGACGACCAGAAGGCCCTGCGAGGAGGTTGTTCAGAAGCAGCTTTTCTGAAGGCTGGCTGTCTCGGGCGGAACTCGCAGGGGGTGTCAGGAAGGGGGCCTCCTTCGCCAACAGAGGGCAGCCAGGAGAGAGACGGCCTCTGTTCCACTCCGCCCGAATCCCACTTCCCTGCCGGTCGCTGTCGGGGCCAGGCGTCTGCAGGTGTGGCCTCTGCCATGTCCACCTGCTGCTGAGGGCACCGGGACTGCACCAGCCCAGCCTTGGGCGGGTGCCCTTTATGCAAAATGAGTTTGCTCACCTTTTGTGAATTCCATCAGGCTGTAGCAGGGTTAGGGATCTTATTTGTGCAGGGAGGAATCTCCGTCTAATGAGGACAAACATCCAGACTGAGACTTGACACGCCTGAGTTTTCCTGTCAGTCTCTTTGTTACTAGCCATGTGCTGTAAACCAGGCTGTTTTGCCTCTTCAAGCCCGTGTACACATCTGCAGATTGAAAGAATGGGTAGGGTGCTTTTTTTAATTAAAAAAAAATTTTTTTTTTTAGTTGGAGTCTCACGCTGTCACTCAGACGAGTGCAGTGGCCGCTCCCGGCCACTGCAGCCTTGCC